GCCAACTTCACAGACACCCTTAAAGTGGATGGATCGTCGTGAGTAATGACTCTAGCGAATCAAGAATTGTGAAACAACGATCGAATTCGGGCCTGGGAATAGCAAAATCGTTTGCGAACTGTAATATTTTTAATTTTCGGGACTTACGATCTTTTTGCGCCAAGTTATAAAAGTGTAAAAACTTAATTTTATCGCAAACAAAAGAGGACCGCTGATAAGAATTTGGCGGGGGCGGCGGAGGGCCTCTTTAGATTAACTTTTCTATTGTATGAAATTTTAAGTTGGTCTAAAATAATGTTTTATGCGATAGATTTTTGTTTGCGCATTTACAGTACGATTTTTGTTACACATTTATATAGTGGTACTGGTTTTATCGGATAACTATTGGTTACAGTAGTTAAATCCGAATCGTTGAACCCTCCGATCTTTTTGAAGCGACACTATGTTTTGTATTTTTGAACGCTGATTACGAATATGAGAATAAAAATTTGCGACAAGGTCATTTTCAAGGTCAAAACTAAAAAAACTTGAGAAATATAAGTTTAATTTTATAAACATGTTGATCATTTATTCATTTTGTACGATATATAATTTATGTTCGACTGTTTTAAGCTTTGTGTGTTTTTTCAGATTCTTGCATGGTATCGTCTCCTCCTGACGCTCTTTTCGCCGGTCCTTATACGCTGCTCGCGTATAGTGTTTGTTGGTGTCGGTACGACAGGTATCCTAACCTCACAACTGTTAGATTTTAATAATTTATAACTCTCTTATTAGGTCCGAGCGACAATTTTAACTTGCAAATTCGTGTTTTACAGGCAAAAATACACGATCCTGTGAATTTTCATGAAAAACGGAGAATGAGAGACTCTCCTTCAGTATTACCTGGAGACTTTATCGACAGTGCTTGAAAATGGGCGTAGCGGAGTAGTTTCAAAAATAAAAGTGGGCGTAAAGCGCTGGAAACTGCTTAGCGAAATGGTAACAAGTAAAACACCGGAGTGGCCGCTCTCAGGTTTCTCTCTGGTAGACGTGTATCTCCACGTTTCAGGGGCCGTCCGTTGGCGCCGCCACGCGCACAAAATGCGCGCCTTCGATGGCGCAGTCACGATTATTATTTCCCATCGGTAACACGTTTACGTCTTTGATTCGGTTCTGCGCTAAGTCCACGACCAGGGGCTCGATTCTTCAATTCACTCGTAAGAAAAACGTATACGAAAATTCTATTCTTACAGAAAACTTGCAAGTCGATTGACTGTCCGCGTGGCTTCTAGCCAATCGAGTTGCAACTTTTCCGTAAGAGCAGAACAAGAAAGAATGACTACGTATACATACATTTTATATTGTAAATTAGTTAATATAAATTTCGACAATTTCACTATTTTAAAATTATCTTGAAGGAAAATTTTTTTAAGTCAACATTTATTACTTTTCACAATTCCTAGGTTCTCTTTTAAATTTTTATGTAAGAAATTCAGTTTTATATTCCTTAGGTTTTCTCCAAAGTAAATCCTTACGGAAATATAAGCGATATTATTACTATAAAATTGCTGTGTATCAATAATTTCTAATAATTCAATTATTGGACCGTAATATTTATTCGGTGCTTTTTTGTTCTCAGTATGTATTGTATGTACATTCCTGTGAGGAAAATTTTAAGATTTTCTAAAGTATATTTTCCCAAGGGCACCGGCACACGATGCTTTTTTTTACTCGTTGGTTTGCTCGCGTGTACCTTTGCTGGTTAATAAGAGCTAATTAGGATTCCACGTGATAGGTCAGATGAATTAAGATTTCATCTCACCAGCGAGTGTAAGTGCACGCAAGCAAAGCAGCAAGCATAAAGCATCGCGTACCTCTGGCTTAATTTTGATATTATTAAGTTTTCAAAGTAGTGATGTTAGTAATATTGAATATTAACATTAAAAAATAAATAAACGTTACATTTTTATCACATACAGGTGTAAAATCAATACGTCTGAAACCGTCATTAATTTTTTAGCGGTCTAAGGCTGGTATTTGTCGTACAAAATTTTCAAGCATGTTGATTCTGCAGCCAGTTCGACATACAGGAAAAATTTGTTATACGACAAACGTAATACTAGCCTAAATTGTGGGCAAACTAATACAACTGAAAATAAACACACAAAATGTACAGTTCTGTCAGTTCTGAAAATACGAATCTTCAATTATCTATAAGTTTTATTGTTTATACATAGATAACTCGTACATGTAAACTATTATATTTTACGCTCAACTCCACCTACGACTTTCTGACTCTGTGCTACGTCTACAAGAGAAGTATTGATTTTTATATTACAATAAAATTATAAATATGCAGTTTATTTCAAAAAATATATTATTTCTTACATTCTAATAAAGTCTAATAAAATCTACTATAAAGTTTATTATAAAGTTTTATTTTTGTAAAAAGTAATAATGAAGTACAAGTTTTAAATATCGATAGAATTGATTGATCGTTAAAGTCACATAAAAGTCATATTGTACGAGATTAAATCGCGTATCTATATGTACACGTGTATGCCCTAAAAAATCGTTAACAAATTTACGAGATTATTATGTCGAAACTTTCAAAGCAAATATTAAATGCTTGAGAAAACAGACGAAGGTTTAGTGTGAACCCCTAATCAACTAGAAGAAAAATCGATCAGAAACATTCGTGACATCGCGAATGAGGTATATACATATACAAGTTCTATTAAATGCACTCTCGGTAGAAAAACGAGACTGCCATAAATTACTATTGTATGATGCGATAATAAATATGTATCAGTAAATGCACGACATTGGGTGTTTTTCTAATTTTTATTTAGTGCACATTTTAATTGTTATTCAAATGACAATGATTTCAAGGAAAAATTCTTTTCTTGCATACCTAAAAAAAAACTGGAAAGGAAATAGCTCCGGCAATCTTAATCCCACTTGAATGTTATGCCGAAAGGTCATTGCACCTCGGTGTACCTTGCTATGTGTTAAATTACACGCTTACAGGCTCTGAATGTTCGTACGAACGCCGTACATATAAGAAATGACAATATGATTTACCAGCGTGCCTGACGCAGGCGCAACTCCCGCGATTCGATAATAGATAAAGCAACGTTATGGTAGCGGAACTGCCAGTCGCTATGCGCTTACCCTACCGTGCTAACTGCTCCTTTTCCTTTTTCCACCAGTCAGTACGTTAAATTCGCGCCGCGTGTAGTTGAATCCGTGGGTTCATCGTTGATGATGAATGAGAGTGATTAATAAAAACGATCGCTATTTTCGTGCATGGCTATGAGATGGGTGAGAAGCGCGTGAACATTTTCGCAAATGTACATATTATATTATATTATATTATACTGCCTCGTAATTATTTTTCCTCCGGACTGCCGTAAAAAGTCTGCTACTTTTGTTACATTTATTTAATCGCGTGATTTTGCATACAAATACCCATATAGCATTCTTGTCTAAAAGACATCTTTAAGACGGCATAAAACGTACGTGTCTAAAAGACACGTATACGTTTAAAAGATGTCCTAAAGATATCTTTATGACGTCTTTTAGACATGCATTGCTATACTGCGTACTGTAACTTCATGTTAGATAAATTGTATTCAGAAGAAAAACGTATCGACGCAAGTAGCAATTGTTACTCATGCTAAAATAACATAATAAAACTGCTGGAGGCTCTGAAAATTCCTTTTCTTAAAAGTTATAAGTTTACTACAGATCTCGTAACTTCTCCTAAATTTTTGTTAATTGAAAACGATCGTTTCTGTCAACGGAATTTCACTCGATTGTAGAATGGATGTAAGCTCGTTGGTCCCGGCGGGACTTCAAACGGGAGGGCAAACAGATCCGTGTGAGGTTCAAGCGGGATACAATAAGTTTTCGGAAAATTTACGAAGATTCACACCGCAGGCTATACAGTGCGCCATTTTTTGCGGCGGGTCCAGATGCAAATATGAAAATCCAAATGCCTGGCCAGCCGTCCACATGGCAATACAGAACATCTTTTCGCACTGGTGAGCACCTCAACTGTTTGTTAAATTTCAATAAAATAACGAAAGTAAGAAGAGATGATATATATTACTAATAATTCTTTTTAAACAAGCGCAAACGAAATTTTGTCATCCAAAGTATATGGCCAGCGCTTCTTAATAATTTAATAATAAAATAATTTTTACTAGCGTTCTGTTTCAAACACAAAAGTAACCAAACGTATAATTTAAAATTTTTAGCGAGCAATCAATTATCAATTGCCATAAAACTGTCAGTAGTAATTATTTATAATTATTAGATAAATATGTATTCATTCACTTGTGCCTAGTCCTAAACTATTCCAATATCACTCGGCAATATTTATAAGCCGTTCGACAATTTATGTCGACTTAAAGACGTGCACTGTGTATTCGAGTCATTATGTTATTGACATCCTGTCGAAGCATCGCTCAACTGCAACAGCGCCCAAGATTTTATTTCGATCAACCGTACATTTGACATGTTAATATGCGTTCCATTGCATCAGTTTAAATGATTAACGTAACAATTTGTTATTATACCCCGCTGTCGACTCTCGTATCAGTTTTCGATCTAAATTGTTCAATCGTTTAAATATTTTAGGGTGACCGACGATGTCCTTGCGATGGCACGGCCCAGTACCGCGCAGATAATAAAAAAGGATATAATTGCCCAGTTCCAAGGGTGGAGTATCAAAACCATAATAAACCTGCAAACACCAGGCGAGCACGCGAGTTGTGGTGGTCCACTAGAAGAGAGCGGCTTTACATACGACCCGAACATTTTTATGAGAAACTACAGTGAGTATTGGAAACACTTATCTTATTAAATGCCATGAGTTCCTCGTTTTATTACTCATCGACAAATAAATAGGGAAAAGAGTTTTCAATTAAAGAAAATAGAGAAAATAAAGAGTTGATTTTTGTTTTTCTCCTTTTAAATTGTCTATCCCGAAGTAAAACCAAATCGCAGACACCGAAAAAGTCCTGACTTATAATTTAATCATTTTCCTAAGCTCTTCAATTTATTTTGAAAATTCTTTTATGAAAGTTGAAGCAATCTGTCAACGAGAATCGTTTACGCTATTATACATAACAAATGACGCGACGTTTAAAAAGTTTCCAGGTGACAAATTGATTATTTCGCGTCGTCATTTTGAAGTTAAAATGTCACGAGAAACGTCATTTACTAAAATCAATATTATTGTATCGCATTGCATTTCGCATTTACATAATAATATGCAATACCACTTAATAATCACGGAGAAATAAAACGACAAAAAATTTGACTTTTAAATTGGCAAGAATAGCTTGTCCTTGTGCTAAACGCACGTAGAATCGTGCGGAAGCGTTTCTCCTCCAATCCTAACAACCACTAGTTAGATCGAAGAGTTTCACAATATAACATGCAATGCAGCAAAAGCGTATATCTATAGAGAGAAAAGTTCCAAAATGACGCTGCTGCCACTCCTATTCTCTCCACCACAGGAAAGTTTTGGCATCAAGCTGCCACAATTACTGATCATGTAAAAATCTGTTACAGTTTATTATTACAATTTCGCCCTTAAGGATTATGGTAGCGCCACGATGGGAAAACTTTTGGACATGGTCAAGGTTGTAGCCTTTGCCGTGCAAGAGGGAAGAGTGGCCATTCACTGTCATGCCGGTAAATCGATTTTTCGTGCAGTACACTTGACCCAATTGCAACCCCTGCAGCTATCATGGCTTTTTGAATGTCTGATCATGTGAGATCGATGTGATGCATAAATTAGTCTATGGAAACATCGCTTGTTTCAATTGAGGCTCACAAAAAATTTTATTCAACTCCTCTGTGCGACGATAAATATTTCTCTAAGTTTTTGCATTTCATTGATATGTATAATATTTAATATTAAACATTAAAAGTATTTATCAAAAATTTATCTTAATAAAAAATGCACGTTTAATTGAAACTTATTAATGTTTTTTCTTTGTTATTTACAAATACCTTTGATTTTATCGGTCACTACCCTTGCTATTTCGTTACTAGTTTTCAATGTTAACTTTACTAAATTTTTTTGTTAAATCGTTTATATGCATCTTTATCAGCGATCTGTAAGTTTTAAATGCATCGATTTAAGCAATAGTTAAAGAAAATTTATCGTGTACGATAATGCCGTGCTGCATATAAATGCATGCATACAAATAGACTGACGTGTATATGCATGTATGTTACACCGTGTATAACTTCTCATATCAAATGCGAGAGGCAAGAAGGAATAATCTCAATTAACTAATGCACAGTAAAATTATGTGATGTCATGTGTTTAATGTCCTTGCGTTAATTGTTTCACGCCTTACAGTGCGTTTAACGTATGCTGTTTTAAGAATTTAAAATAAAACTTTAAAATACGTATATTAATCGAAGGAAGTCTTCTATTATTAAATAGATTTCTAATATGTATGAGATATCAGGTTTTCAATACCCAACTTCAATCACAAATCTTCTTCGCGACGATTACACAATTTAACAATAAATTTTCCACTAAATAGATTTCACTCCAAGAGCAATAAATTCATAGTGGAATCAACTGATGATGCCTATTAATTTAACAGAAACCCCGCTGTTCCATATTAAGATCCTATCTCATAATATGGGACTTTCCGCTATATATTTACTAATAAGAGGATTCAAACTCCTCTTACTATAAACGATTTAATACTGAATATGTTACTGACCAATGTTACAATTATTTCTTCAAATATAATGGAGCTCTTTGTATGATGTCTCAATAACTGTTAAACTTATGTGGCAAAAAGAATTTGATTTATAAAAAGCCAATGTTAGCTCTGCATGACCTCACACAATTATGTAATTGGGTTAAAGCGTAATCATTGGCAATTATATTACAGACAATAAACTGTAAAGTTTGTTGCGCTCCACTTAACATGATACCATTAGCTTTACGGACGTCGCCGCGTCGCATGGGAGGTCCATTTCATTAAAGCATAAAATGCGGGTGAACGACGAGCGATTATGAACGCAATGTATTTTTAAGAACGATATTATTTTACAAATACCCAATGCGGGTATTTTTACCTTGCTACATTTCGTTTGTTTACATACAAATAATTTACACGATAAAGAAAATGTATTCATTTTCATATTATCAAATTATAGTGTGTTAAGTGTTATACATATATGTATAATATAATCATAAAGAGATAAAATCATGAAGGTCAGCCATAACAATTTAATCCGTAATCTTCTTGTGCTGTGTAATGCATATAGAAAGAAGATTGTCATCTAAATGTAATTGCCCGATTCTAAATGTATTAATGATTGTTTATGTTACTTGAGTGCAAATTGAAGCTATAAGGTGTTTGTCAAGTAACAAATTTTATCGACAATAACCGAAAGGTGAATTTTATTCAGAAATCCATTATTATTCAAAGCGATGTTTAAGGATAAGGGGTTAGCGTCTATTCTGATCGATCGATCAGTCTCATCATAATAGTTGCGATTGCGATAGTTACTTCGAAACTATCGCCAGTTCAGAATCACATTTTTTATTAAAAGAATTAGTCTTGGCTTACATAAAAAGTTAGAAATGTACGGAGAAAAGCTATGCAGATCGCTAAGACCTAATTCCTCAAATTCGTCAAAATGTTAATTAGTCATAATTATATCTTCTCGAATCTTTTAAGTATCAAAAAAAGAAATGGTATGATGCATTATTAATTTTAATTCTAATATTCTTACGATCATATTAATCGTTGCTTTGCGAATTGAAATTGATAAAATCAGGCGTAGCCGAAGGATTTAGATAACGAGGTGAATATAACGAACGCGATTAGGAAAGTTAAATTACAAAATTTGTCCGTGTCAGATTTATCGCGGTCTGTCGGATCGATCGGGGTACTGCAACTTCAGAAACGTCTTGTGTGCATGCTACGTGACTTCATTATAGAAGAAAAACGTAAATCCGAATATTGTTAACGTCAGTCAGATATCATCTAGCAAATGCACTACGTGCATATGGTATGCGTGCAAGTTTTCGCCTTTTGTAAGACTAGAATTGACATCTCTGTTTCCAGTTTTGATATTTGTTAATGCAAAACTTTTCGTTAAAATGACGTTTATCACTAGTACGATTATCTGACGTGACTGTCCTTTCTATTCTTGGAATGTAAAATGCGAAGAATAGTTTTCGCTTATAGCTGATAAGGCTTCATTTCATATCTGCTCAAATCTTACACGTAATCTTAAATTGCGATCGCTTCTCTTCATTTCCGTGATAAATGTTCTTAAACATCACCAAAAACACTTCCACAATCACTTCTTTCCTTCATAATTATACATTATTAATTTCTTGTAATTAAAAGTAACCTTTGCGCTACGATCCTCGGCTTGTTTTATACAATTCGCTCGCTCGCTTGTATCTGATTAATGAGTCGGCAATTAAGCCAGCAGTAGCAGAACAATGCCGAAAGTATTTTATTTTCAGGTCTCGGCAGGACCGGCGTACTGATAGCGTGCTACCTTATTTACAGTCTTCGTGTAAGGGCAAACGACGCCATTAGATTTGTCCGCATGAAGCGTCCCTCCGCCATACAAACGCGCGGGCAAATAATTTGCATTCAAGAATTCGAGCACTTTGTGCTTCCGCAAATGATAGTATTCCCTTTGCACAGTACAACGGGGGATCGCAAGCCCTATAGCCTTCAATCGTACCTGAAAAAGCAGTACAATATGCTACACGGATATGAGCAGCGCACCTTCAAGCATATTCCAAAAGTGCGAGGCATTCTGTACTCCCACAATTCACTTATATTACATCATTTTAGTAAATCTTGTAATTCTTTTAGATCTATAATGAAAAATATTAATTGATTTTCTGTAAATTAAACTTAATTATGAATGATAATTTGCGTTTTACCGAATTTTATTTGCATTTCTTCTTAATATTATTAACAAATATGTCGGAATTAGATTCTTGAAATTTGATTTTTGAAGACTACTAAACGATACGATTAAAAATACTTAAATATTACTAAAGAATTAAAAAGATCTTCGATTCACGTTAAACTTGTTTTAATATATAATTTTCTTGGCTTAGTAATTACGTTCCTGTTGATTATTATTACAAATACGAAAGTATATTAATTATGTCGTTTTCTTATTATTAAGATTATCTACACAAAAGCTGCTCGACTAATTAACTATGTTTTCCTCAGATGGTTTTTATTATTTGCGAGCGAATACTACAACTCTGCGATTGTCAGGAAGACAATTCGCCTTCCGAGATTGCATACATGGTATCCAACGTACCTTTTACGCAGAAGTTCATTTGCCACGTATTGGAGAAATTCCGTGACGGCAAGAGTAATATGCGGCACTCCTATTCCTGGGCGGAATCCCTTACGGACTCCTTCGAATACTCAAGTGAGAGGCATTACGTGCAATTTAATAATTAAGCAATTTTACGACATCCAATTAATTTCCATCTGCCCCCAAGATTAAATAATGAATGAATTATTCGTTGAAATTCCGCAACTCTTGATTCATATAATTTCTCTCTTAATTAATATAAATTATTAGCGAATGTTCATTACTTCTCATCCTTCTTTTTACTTAAATACTCTTGGAAGGTAAAGTAAATACCTATGGAAAATTGATACTTTTCAAGCGTATCTCTCAACTGGTTTACTTAATATATCTTGAGACGTTACACGTATATAAAAAAATTATCTATTTTAGCTTCCACGAAAGCGTGCAGTAGTAGTCAGGGATCGTCCCGAGGTACTTGCGACGACATAGGAAGATTGAGTGATGTATTTTGCATGTCACCGGACACTCCCTCCTGCGACTCCACATTTCCAGGTATTACTATTGACAAATTCAAGTATAGATTGGTAGACATCCTTTACTCTATGTCAACCTTGCTAAAACGGTGTGCATACCCGACAACGAGATCTTTTCTTTACACTGCGACAGGCTTGGACGACAGTTGCATAGATGATGTCCTAGGCGACGGCATTCACGATCAGGATCTGCTCGATAATGACTGTTACAAAGAGATTCAGTCACACATGGATCTGAGGCGCGTCTCTCGCAGCGATCACGAAACGGTGACTGCCGAACAAGCTATCAAAGCCCTCATCAAGGATACCGCCTTGCTTCCCGATCCCATAAAGAAACATTTGCAGGATTATCAGGTGCGTTTTACACCCCTAATATACACGAGGTAAACTGTTTTAGATACTACAGTGATTATAAGCGCTTGCATTATAATTACAGCACGCATATGTATTATATATAGAATCGTTCATTCAGTTTCTCCAAGCTATGTTCAATTGCTTGAATACCTATACTTATAACTAGCTCTAGAATCGTGAATAGTGAATAGTGAGCATATGCTTACAAATCCATATGCTTACAAAATGAATCAATTTAGTGTACATCACGGGTGTATTACGTGTGTAACACGTATTGTGTGCAATTCTATTTTCAAAGCCGTAGTGAAGTCGCAAATATGATTAACTCTCGTGCTGCTGAAAATGCAATTGTTGTTCGTGCGACATATTATTTACAACATATTATTTTCTACAGCAAACCGATTCGAACATATTGCATTGAGAAACAATAATCAAAATTTAAGAAAAAACCGATAATGTCTTTATCTTGGCTTGTAAACCATAAAGTAATTTATTCATTAGAAAAATATAACGTAACGATACTCTATTACAGTAAAGTATATGTAAATCTTCACTCCACATATTAAAAACAAGCAATTTATCCTTTTGCTATCTAGAAAATCTTGATATTAAAATTATCACGTAAATGAAAAGAAACTTTTCTTTCACACAGTGGTGACACGAATACCTCATTTTCGCCACAGGTTTTAACTCTAACTAGTAAAGCAGTAACGATTTGGTTGATTTTTTAATAATTTTAACGTAGGAATATATTGATAACGCGCTATGTTATAATAGACACGAATGTTCAACTCAGTATTAATATTAAGAAAATGTATTTTCAGAGTGACTTGAATCATCGATGTACCGCCTGGCAGCGATTAGAATTGGAAACTAATTTAGAGTTGTTATCGGCATTGCTGTTCGAGTGGATGGAAAGTCTTAAGCATCCTCTTCTTGATGTTGACAGCCTCAGTTACATCGTCGTGTGGAGTTCAAAGCCGCAGCGATGCCTCGCGAAGCTACCCGTTTATACGAGATATTTATTAGAATACCTTTTGCGATTCATTATTCGCTTAAGGCCTATGACAGCTGAGAGCCAGAGTTTAATTACCAAAAGGCTAATGGCGGCACTAACGCAGCAAACAATTTGGATAAAGAATTGTTTTCATCCCCCAAGTATGTATATATATATATTAGTTGATTGTAATTTCTAATTAACAATCACGTTAATAGATAATACAATAAATCTTACATAATGCAAAGTTGTATAGCGTTATTGGAACTTTTACACTTTTTATCTTTCTCATCGGTAACATTCCATTTTGAAGTTATTATGAACATTTTCATCGAGAAATACGTGTAAATAGAACACGAGTGGTTTTCGGAAGTTTGTCTAATTATATACAATCTTCAAAACAGTTTAATAGTCTTGAAGAACAACATTTGCTTAAAGATGTTTGAAGACACTCAGTATAATTGCGTTCTGTCCATCAGCTCTATACCTTATTTGCGTCATATCACGATCCCCAGAAATATCGATTTGTCCCACACAGTCCACCTTTATCCTATTTATATTTCAGTATCGATAATCATAGTGTCCTTATGACGTAAAAGACACAGACTTGCAGACACTACTTTTGTCACGCTATTGAACAAATTAATCCCAATATGGAAAAAATGGTGGTATCAAATTTTAGGAGTGCGCAATACTTGTGAAAACAAGTTAAAAATTCTTAATATGTAGTACTTATAAAACCATTTAATTCCGAGTTATACTATACTTATGTAATTCTCATAGCGATGTCACGCATTTTGTGGTATCGATCGTCTCATAAATAAACTCGGAGTGTATTGAGGTGTTTGGGAGTAGGTGGTGTGGGTGGGTGATAATATGTTTAGGTGTGTTAGACTATGTTGGCACGTGACGGAGTGTATTGATGCGCTTGAAGTGGGAGATACGAGTAGGGAAAGTGGAGGAACAGTTGCTATAGATTAAACTTACTTTTTTATTACAACAGAAAAATATCTTGCAACTCCAGAAATAAGTGGTTCGTCAAGTACTGCTTATTAAAACTTTTTGGTTTGGTTTTACTACGCGCTCCTAAAATTTGATACCCTTTTTAAATACCCCATAGAACTATAACATAGCTGTTTCTGAAGTCAATAAAACTCGCGTTGTAGGCAAACAATTCCAGAAACTGCGACGCGGCACCGCCGGCAAGCTCAACGAGTTCTTCATCCGCTTGATGAACCTGATAGAGGAAGTTAACACTCAAGGGTTGGACAAGAAGCCACCATGGGCGTCAAAGTGGGAACTGTTATCTAAGCATTTGCGGGGTAGCCAGAAGAACTGATGAGTGTGACAAATTTACAGTTTAGCATTTCGACGAGTTTTTTTCTAATTGCCAACGATATAGACAGACCAGTAATCTTTTATTTTTCGCCAGGTATGAACAAGACAAATCATTTATAAATTACGAGTCGTTCGCTATATATTAACGACTTTCTTGTGTCTGTAATAGCAGCTGCAGATAACAGTCTAGGCAGATTCAATAGACTTAAAGGAATTAAAGGAGTTTTCTAATGAGATAGAATAGTGGATAATATCTTTATTACTGTATTAATATTGAAAATTATTGTTATTTTTGCCTGCGAAAAGTTTGACAATCGCGCACTGCGACATATTGTTTGTAATCGAGCACCTCTTTTAAACAAAGATTAGAAAATCGACTTCCAATATTAGCAGCGACCACGTGGATTTATAGCTCGCTTAAAACTGGAGAATTATGTATTAGAGTACGGATCCAGCTTTCGATCGACGAAACATTCCATGTGATTTGATTTTCGAACGGAATCTTAACGTATTTAACAATAAATGCGTTACTTTTATGTAAATGACTTTAATAAATAAAGAGAGATATTTTAGCAGTAATAGTAAGTATAATATATTATGCAAAAACCATTTATGTTATAAAAATCTTGTCATCAAAGAAAGAAAAGACATAATCCAATATATGATAACACAATCAAAAATCAATTACATTAAAACAGAAATTGTTACCGTATATTTCACAAAATACCCAAATAATTATAAATTGTAAAATTAATACTGCATTCTAACTTAAAACATTTTATTATTTATTGCATGATGGTTTTTGTTCGGATTCATAGAATTTATTTCTTAATTATGAAATCCCTATTCCATGAAGATAAAACCGTAAGTATTAAATCTTTACGAAGGTTTCGCTACGTATTGCTAGCAGATAAATTAAAATTTTTTAATTACGATCAATAATAATAGCACTTTCAATGTAAACGCAATACCGTGCAATTATTGACACGTAACATTGGCGTTACATTAGTATTTATTTTATATTGAAAAGTTGCGGCCATGAAATAAATTTTTTGTATGTACGAAAAATAGAGATTAAACATCCCACGATCAAAAATATATGATAATCTCCTTCAGTATTACCGAATTTCCTACCCAAAGTAAAAATGAATCCTTCATATTTAATTTCTCGTAATCAATCTCATATCAAATGTGTAACTACGTTTCGTGGCACGATTGTCCGAATCTCGTAACATGATTGACCAAACCTCCTCGTTGGATGATCGAGACTTCGTGGCACTTTGTATAACACCTCAGTATTAATCACACGCGACAGGAAAGGAAACACAAAAATACGATTGCACAAAGTTACTGTTTGCACTCGGTATGCCTTGTAAATTTGTCCGATGGTACAAATTTTAATCAACAGAAATCGCCGATGTATTAATTTAAATTATCGACGAGTAAATATTACAATATAATTACGCATGGATAAGATTAATTGATATTTAATTCGAATACGAGCATCGTTTAAAGAAGCAATTATCGTCCGTAATTATCGCAAAAAGTAATTTCAAGTTAGCGCTTTGATTTTTGATTGTATAGATCTCATGTGTGAATTGCGCGAGATATCTGGCTTACCGGTTAACCGAGTATCGATGGCAAGTCGCGGGGATTCAGCGATCTATTATTCGTACTAATTATTCGCAGAGAACGATCGCGGTTTCTTCCCGTACTTTCGCGAACGTATCAAGAAAGAATAATACGATATGCTGAACGACGTGGGACTAACCGACCCGTTTAATTGTTTATTGTCGCCGCGTGAATCAACTGCGTAGGCGTGACCGAGCGCCGAAGACCGAGCATCGATTCCAAGAAATGACGTAGTGCTATAGACCGAAAGTTGTAAACAACTCGGTGAAAAACCGAGCGCGGTTCGAAATGACGTAGCGCTATAGACCGAAAGTTGTAAACAAACCGAGCGCCGTTCGAAGTAATGACGTAGTGCCGTGAACACCTCGGTCGAAAACAATCTATCATTCGGCGCGGTTCAGTCGAACGAGGCGGACGCTCCGCGTGTCTTCGCGTCGCTCCCCGTAACGCGATCATCTCCTACGAGAGTCTCGATCGTCTCGTTTAAGTAATTGTCGAACAATTATACGTACAACAGTGCGCGTATAACACAGTTTCCATTTTCGTCGCGTTCGGGAGTGTCGTTTAAATAATCGTCGCGTTCGGGAGTGCCGTTTAAATAATCGAAATAAAGACTTTTCAAAGCCCATTTGAGGAACAGGTATTTGTTAAATGTCCGTTCCTGTCGATGGCCACACTTTCGAGATTTGGCAGTTTTTGAGATATAATACTCGCCGACTCGAAGTGGAGGCGAACTTGACGGAACAAAATACATACTCTCACATGGGTTTATTAAACGGGAGTGTAAAATCGCGCGGACGATCTGTGTGTTTTCGCGAGTGTACCAAAGGACAATCTGAGTGGAGGAGGAGGTCTGGCAGAGGCATCGGGCGCCGGCGGAGCAACTATACGGTAAATATTTTTATTTATTATAAAATTAATCTCTTCTCCAGTTTATTTTTTAGTCGTTTTATTTTATAATTCTATAATTTTGAAATAATGTAATAATTAGAGAACAAGAAGTAAAAGTTAAAATTTTATAAAAGTTTATTCTTGTGAAGATTTTTGGAAGATCTTAACCATTTAAATATCCAACCAAATAAAACGTTCAATACGAATAAGAATTACTTAAATTTTAAAATATTAATTTTTTTAACACTATTTTAATCCTATTTTATTTGTTACAGAATCACCGTAGCAAACTCCGCTGCTGCGCATCAGGTGGTAAGTGAGAAACTTTTTTTATTAAGGCAACGAATCTACATCTCGTAGATCGTTGAGTGTAGATCGTAGATCGTAGACTAGTATATCTCGTAGATTCATTGCCTTGAAATGGATGGAGTACAATATAATTTCATATTTAGTTTTATATATTTTATCAAACGAAAGGGAGTTATCGTGCTTTTCACTGCGGAGGGTTAGGTGCCCCGTTGCAGCACATCATATATTTTCACTCAAAATATGACGAATATTATTGATGTATTCGTCGAACTAATCTCTTGTAGTAACCTATCCATTTTTTATTAACAAATTTATATATAAAGTAAAATATGACGTGAGACTCTAATATTTTGTCGAGAACGCTGAAACTGTATATTATTTTCACACATTATTTGAGATGATTGATCAACTAGAATTATTCAATTGTCCGTCTATCTATCGTACGGAAAGATTCTTTTCTCTGGGTCTCACGTCATTTATTTTGTACATGTATCTCTCGATACACTTTCGAGATGCGTCTCGCATGAATACATGCATACACCCACAGAAAAAATTTCCGGATCTAATGCTATTACACTTCAATGTATCATAAAATAGAATCGATATAGCGCCAATCATATTTATTATAGAGAAAGAAATATTTAAATCTTAAATCAAAAATTTTTATATAAGTTACTCTTTTCTAAATGTAGTAAGTCAATATTTTTTAATTCGATAGAGGAGAATAAGAATTACTGATTTAATTTTGATATTGTCTTCTTTTTATACTATAAATAGAGTTGTGAGAAATATAAATGCGTCAAGAATATTTTCGGTTTCAGTAACAGAAATCTTTTCTGAGGGTGTAGTTACACGCATCTTTATATTTTCGCGGTCGGTTTTGGCGATCAATTTTTCAAAAAGTTTTTAAGAAATTATTAATTGTTTAATTTCATTCTTATTATAAATTTAAATTTATCGCGGAGTATAATTAAAATAAACATAATGCAAAGTAAATTTTTTCTGTTTTTTCTATACACGCACGTATACTTAAATTTCGAATTTAGAGATTGAGTCACGACGAGATAGTTATTATCTATTCTCGAATAAATAACGGAAGTAAAAATATATTTGATGACTTTTATACAGTAAATTTTTTAACTTAATTTTCTTCTTTAATTAACTTCTCGTGGCCGTGCATTTCGATACGATCGACGCTCGCATATAGTTCGAACCGTACGATATGTCTGTTGGTAATACGACAATAAACCGACTATGGAAGAAGTTTCCTTCCTTTCTGATCTCTGGTCAAAATGACCAGACTGTATGGCCAGGAGCAACGAATGGTAGGTCCAATCTGGCCCAACGAAGGAAGGCTGAATACGACGAGATAAGTGGTCAATATTAGCCACTTTAATGGAGTATGTAAATAAGTTGCTGTACGAAATAAGTTCATTTTTTCTTATTTGCCACAATTCGGGTGGGTTATATTCTTATCTATTTTATATATTCTCGCATATGTGCAAGATTAAAAAGATGTCTATTAAATCCCTATTAAATCAGGCGCGTAAAACCTCAAATCGGGCCTCTTCTAAATGGCGTCGCGGTTTTAACGAAACATTAATTAACAAAAAGTTGAAACGCGGGTAGGTAGGAAAATGGATAGAACTATATAGCGGAATACGGCTTGCTAGGTAGGGATTCGTGTAGGCAAGGACAGGGGGACATAACTCGATAATTAAAAAGATAGATAATTATAACTGCACTGTATTACTATTAAATATAATTATCTTTGCCATTATTTTTAATAAAATACTTTTAATAAAATATATTTCTGCGAAAACATACTTTTAATAAAAAAAACTCTACAAATTAATATATTTTTAATGAAATGTATTAAATTACGCTAAAATAATTATTAGAAACATTATGTTGTAATTTTGTTGTATTTATTTTAAATTTTACAACATTAGTTGTAGAAATTAGAAACATTTAATATTGAATATGCAATCGTATTAATTTTCCGATACAAACGGAGAATCTTGTGTGTACAAAAGAATGTTTAAGTAACTTTCTAGTAAATATCGAGAACGGTCTGCTACAAATTTTATTAGCAAAAAGAGTACAAGTTTGATACAAAATCTGACACATTTAATTATACCAAAATGCTAATAGAAATAAAGCATGTCAATAAAATATAACGATTAATGATAAAAATAAAATATTAATATACTTGCTATACAATCTAACATAACTGTATTGTTAGCAAAATTTTTAGCAATTTGTATAATTTATATTTCGCTATTTTATTTTTTATTCCATTGTCGTACATCAGTTTCATGATGAGAGCATACATACTCACGGTAGACAGCTGCGGGATGCGAAACGAAGAAGATTGGTTTTTGGCTCGTGTCGCTACGTCGATTTTTCGCCGAGTTATAGCGTTTTAAAAATCCGGCGTGCGCGCACCATTCATGAATGAAGGCCGCGCGAATTTTACGCACGTAGTACTACGTCCCTAAAAAACTGGGATTAAAACACACGAGGCACATGTGTTCGGTAGTAAACACCGCTACGCCAGACACCGCGCGAGACGCCGCGTATACGCGTCGTCTGCTGCTTCTGCTTCAGGATTAAGAGATCGCGAGTCGATATAGTCGTTAATATTTTCGCACAGAAAAATCGTAGCAAGATGATCCTGGTCTCGTTGGAAAGCTAAGATTTCAGCGCTTCTAACGAGATAAGAATCGTTCATCTCGGATTATTAGTTTATCAGTTATTGTTTAATATTTCTGAAAATAAAATTGATTTTCTTCCGAGATCGAGATTGCGAGTCGATATAATCGTAAATATTTTCGCACAGAAAAATCGTAGCAAGATGATCTTGGTCTCATTAGAAAGCTAAGATTCCAGCGCTTCTAACGAGATGAGAATCGTTTATCTTGGATCATTAGTTTATGAGACATTATTGATAAATGCCGAGAAAATTGATTTTGTCCCGAGCTCGAAATTGTGAGTTGATCTTCCGACTGAAATTTGTGGGGGTGGTGGAGAGCTTCTACAAGATTACTTTGTTTTAATAAGATAACATTTAAATCAAATCTAAAAAAGACATTATTTCATTTATAAAAAACTGCAAAGTTTATTTTTACGAGAATGCGATCGTAATGATTATCTGCTGTAAACGGAGCAATCTTATACAAAACAAACCGTTTAAATAATTTTCTATCGCCACATAATCATTAGTATATATTGTAAAGTAAATTATAGGATAGTTTTTTTTATAACATCCGCCCATTGCATTAAATAAATTAGGCCTCGTTTAAATATCATGACTCGTATAGTTATATTCTTCATTCAGCGTTGAATACAGCTAGTCAGCATTTCAGTTCTATATAATTATAATGACATTCCATTTAGTTTGAATATCAATGATTGCATGTGACATAAATGAAATTCAGAAATAGGTGGCTAACTATGGAACGTGAATGGAAAATGGAAAAGATCATACGTTCCGTTAAACAAAGTATACATCTGGGAAAAGTATTTTGACGTGGTCAAAGAAGCGGATGTACGAAAATTCCAGATCAATGTGGAATGTTACTTTATAAATCTGATAAAGATTTAAGAACAGAATTATAGCAAAGAGTGATAACAAGTAGCGAGAAGTATTTAGGATCCCTTTATTAAGTGCGTTAACAGGGAATTTGAAAACAGAATTTTTTAAGAGCTTAAAATTCTTGTTTTATATATGTCGCAGTTTTTATTATATATATATATATTTATTTATTTATATTTATATAAGTATATCCTTTCCAGATAATTCTATATCAGCTAGGATCTTAATACTAACGCTTACGTCAAACTAGAAAATGCGAGTCCGTAAATTCACTATTTACAGTATGATATAAGTGCTTCCTGCGATCTAGACATATATTTTCCTAAATACATTAATTTACGTATATAAATCTCGATACGTCTAACGGGATTATCAAGCATTATACAAACGATGTCAGTCTTATCCAAAGAAAGTACGGTGAAAATTATAATTCATCGGTACTTACAATTATTACTACTTAATCGGCTATTCCTACGCTCCGTCCATTACTGTTCCCGACGTAAAGACCGGAGGTTGATAAGTTGAAGAGAAATCGTGCATGGTTTTCTTTTAGTAACACATTTAATTTCTTAGTAAAATCGGTACATTTTTACAAGGCAACTTATCATATAAATACTTAACAAAGTATAATCCAGACAATAAACATTGTAGGAGAATGCAATCGTTTTCAATTTATGCCGGCGGTATCCTACTCGATCGATTATACGGTCGTCCTTCATGGAATTTACATCTTTGCGTGAGCTCGAATTGCGATAACAACCACCTTGTGCTTTTTCTTTCCGTGCAAATTACTTTAAATTATATAATACAACAAAGAGAAAGAGACGAGGAACATGTAGAAAATTATACTCTACAATTTTACCAGAGATTATAGGTACGTTATTTTACGTTAAAAACCATATTTGTTTGTACGTCCTTCTAACGCGTTTGATTTGATTGCGAGGGAATGCTTCATTTGCCGGGAATCCTTACGACGTGTTACGCACACACTCGTGAGACTGTTGAGTGGAACGCGATGAAATTTCTCATGAACATGCCCATCTCGATCACAGATATACAATGTATCGAAATTGCAATGTATTCGGATATTTAATCAATTACTTATTCCACAAAATACGACGAATCGCCATTTCATTTCGTCGACGCGCTGTATCGAATGTTTCTAGCATCTACCTAGGAAAACATCTAAAACAAAAACTTTCGGAAATTAGCAATAAATAGATTTTTTCGGAGTCCAAATATTTTTATCCGACTATCTTGGTTTTTTTATTTAAAAAAAAAACAATGAACATTAGCATCGATTTGGCACTGTTCATGTTGAGTACTTGGAGCTATCTGATATGATTGCACAGAACCGCCGTCGTTCTGGTGAAAGCAAAGCAATAAAACGCCAGGTAATGCATGGCTGATTGATCATCGGGTTCGTTATCGGCAATTATTGTTCGAGCGTTTTGCAAAGTTTTACGCGGCACGATTAAAAGCTATAATTTCTACAGCACTGCGTAAGCAACATAACGAAATAATCTCTCGCCCGAATTGCGCGCTAATCGATCGCAATGCCCGCGTACATAAATCCAAATTGCCCTCATTAACAAACATAACAAAAAGAAAAAGAGAAAAGGAAAACATTAATAATAAAGCATCTGTGGGGGAGTACATGTAACATTGTCATAATACAAAAAGATTCAGCAGCAGATACGCGTTGCGCGAGCACGCCCAAAACGTCACGCGACGCGGCGCTTGATCGATCAATTAACCGATTATCAATTATAAATTATCCGGTCGTCAGGCCCCGCTCCTCCCCGCGACGTGACGAACGTTCACCCGGCAAAACGAGAAAATGTCTTCCGTCGAATTATCCTCCCGAGAACATCGAGAGGGGGAGAGAGAGAGAGAGAGAGAGAGAGAGAGAGAGACTTCAAGAGTCGAAATTAAATGCAGACGGGATTACGGGGTTAACGGGTAATTAACGCGTGCACTCGCATACACAATTACACTCATGCGCACACATGCATACCGCATATACGAGCCGCGATATCGGCAAAATCATCCGTCCGCGAGTGACGTATGCGCAAATTCCTAATGCCTCGATGAGTTTAATTATTTACAGGAGTCTTCTATGGCGTACATGTGTGTGTTTGTGTTTGTGTGTGTGTGTGTGTGTATGTGTGTGTGTCAAGTTTCTCTTAATTCATTATACATAATACATATAGACTTAGATTATTAATAGTACCATACGCGAAAGCAAGCCCGAACGGCACTGAACCTCGCAAAATTTCATCAGGTGAACCAGGTGACTGCCGAACGTTTATACCCTCGCACAAAAATGCAGACGTACACATACACACCTCGCATTCTCTCTCGCTCCTTACGCTTGTCTTTCCGTCTATGCGCGTGTGATTTAATTATTCCTTAACCCTGCGGAGGTTTACACCCAGGACGAGTACATGCAAGTATCAATTTCGTGTTTTAAATTATTCAGCGATTCAAATCTGTCAAGCCTCACAACGCAGATATGTATGTCTTGTTAATTAAAGTTGGGCCGTGTCGATTTGAAATTACTTACAACTCGAAAGTTACGCAATTTGTATTTTATACTTTGTCAAATAATACGTTTGGGAAGTGGTAATATTATAATTGCAATTGTGAAAGTTAAGAAACGTTTCTTTAATCGGAAATGATAAAACAATGCCTGCAATAACCGAAGTGAAACTATTGACGCTCTATGCACATGTTACAAGTATCCAATGTATAAAAAAGCCGTAATAATAAAGGTTACGGAATAAGAAAGTTCACAGAAAAGATTTATGTGCAAGCTATGTGTGCACGTATAGTCAATTCGACTGTCGAAAATTTCAAATTCAAGTATAAAATTCATAATGCTTGTATCATATCAGTAATATTCTTAGTTTTATTTGATTGTTTACTAAAATACTCTAATCCGTACATTCGCGTTATTATAGCTCCGTTGCCCAAAATTGGAAAAAGACAGCTGCTCAGACTGGCGAACAAAGTGTAATGCGTTTATTCGTTAATAAAATTGACCGTTAGTTTTGCATGTATCGTTTTATTAAACTACGAAAGTTCGTGAATTTCTACTCTAAGGTCCAAGCTAATTGTGATTCGAGATGAGTCGTTTCTTTTCGCAACAATAAAGGAAATGTTAGAAAAATAATAGGGAAGATGTTATCTCTAACGTTTAAGAGATGTAGAAAACAATTTTATCTTCTAAAAACGTCTTAGCGTCGCTCGCTTAAAAAGGGGGCTCATCGTAAAATTTCACAAACTCCCGCACTTTCTATTTACAGCATAAGTGCACTGAAACATCAATGTCCAATTATTGCAATAACGTCGATAAAATCAGAATTGTTACAACTGGAATTGCAACTGAAACTACAAGTAGACAACTACGTATGACAATATCAAAGGAACGTGGAAGATCCTTCCAAACTTATATAAAAAAAAAGTCCTCACACAATTCGATGACGATGCGAAGTTACGCTAATTCATCTTGAAATTAAATATTTTACATTCACAAGTAACTTTGCATACCCAACTCAAATAATTTTCCGAATTGCACATAATGTCTCGTTACGATCTAACAAAAAATACACAGCTACGCTTTTCGTTTTCACCAATCACCGCGCAGAGGTGACATTAGGCGCCTCGTGGCAATTAAACTAAGCCTCTAAGCTCGGCGAATGTGTTATATTAAATACGCACGGGGACCAAAGGAAAAAAATACTGACGGCTCAGGAGAAACTCGAATTATTCGGTAGGTTCGTACGATTCGTACGATTTAAAGTGCCCGCCGTACCGACGCGAGCGCGCTTTCTACACTTGTGTTTCGGAGACCGCGCACTTTCGAAGAGACCTACTGGCCTCGATCGGTGCGCATACAGCAGGACTAGGATCGGAAGGGGCTGAGGGGAAAAAATCTTGATGGAGAGGGCTGTCGACATCTAATTCCTTATAATTTCGATACGTATACGTATTAATATATGTATATATGCATACATGGTACCTTTTTTTAATTTATTTAAAGACTTCATGCTTAGAGAAGTAGGGAGATCATTAACGTGATACTTTTGCCATCGTTTTATGCAATACTTTTTTTCGACACTCGAATGGCGCGACATCGGTATAAACTGCCTGTAATTGATCGGAAACGTTGATATACAATAGACTTAGCAACCAAAAACGACTTGTAACGTATAGATATATATATATAAGAGTCCCTTAATTATATGTATGTATATGTATATATAATTAAATATAGTGGTCTTACTATATATTCATCACGTATCACAGAAGGAAGTGCTAATAACTATAATATAATCTTGAACGCGTAATACCTAACAACTCGAAATTTTTATGTTAATCGTCCAAGACGCTGAAGCGCCAGCTTTCAACGTGTCGGAACTTGAAAAGCACCATCTCGCTACGGCGCTGAGTCTATCCTATACCTTAGAAACGGTGAAGTTAAATATATATGTATATTTATATATATATTTATTGTACAAAAAAACAAACCGTCGAGACCGAATGGTGTTAGCGTGAAATCTGTAATTTCGTTGGCCGCGAGATGTACATGCACGTTAATTGAATATAAAACGTCGCGTTAGCGATCTTCCCACTTATCCCCATTCGTAACGTTCGCTCGAGTGTCATCGATCGTCTCTCTCGCGGAGCTACGCACAGATAATACACCTATAATATCGTTCTGCATCGCGGACTCCTGACCGGCTCGATCGGAAAGTAATTTGAAGGATCGCCGCGCGCGCGCGCGTCGCTCGTGTTGTAGCGCTCATTTACAAACGTCGACCGCCTCCCGACCGCTCTTTCCTCTTCCTCCTTCGGCTCCGTTAATTACCGCTTAATGAATACGAAACTACTTACGATCAACTTCGCTAGACTATACAGAGTGCTACCAAGTGTAGCGGACGGGTACGCCGGGACGCATCCGGTCTCGTCGCGGATGCGATTCTTAGTTTAACTTGTATGTGTATGATACCGGGGACCTCTTCGAGGGCTGGGAGGAACCCGCTTGATCGCGCGAGTAACACGTCGCTCTTCGTCTCCGCCGGACGAACGCCTTAAAGACTAAACTCAGTCGCTCCCGTACGTACCCACCACCACCGCCACCGCCGCCACGGCTTCGTCGATTTTATTTCCTAGATTCAATCCCGCCGGACTGTCCGATCGATTCGCTTCTCCGGCGGAACCGCGCGTTGCTTCTCGTCTTGCTCGTTCGCCTTTTATCCGACGAATGTGCGGCACGTTGCTTCGCGTTTTCCACGACGTCGGAGTCGGAGTCGCGTCAATTATCGAACCAATCACGATCGAAACAAACCGATTTAATTTTCTCAAAGCGCAAAGTATAAAATATCGTACCACGCGCAGAAACGCAACACGCGGTACATTTTCGATTGTTTGCGATGAAGCTATGTCGCGCGTAGCACGGTAGGCTCGCTACCGTATCCGGGGTGCTTTATCTACGCGTGCATGCCAGCACGAGATGCATCGGTTCCTCCGGCGAAGGGTACTTCCCGTCGCGTTTCCGGGGCGCCCGGTAAGGCGCGCCGACCGCAAGGCGCGCCGTGCACGGTGCCCTATCATCGCTACATTAGTCTCTAATGCAATGTACACGAGAGAAAGGGAGAGAGAGAGAGAAAGAGAGAAAGATATATGTATATATTTATGTATACGTGTCTATTAGATAATAACCGCGGCTCCGGAACGGAAAAAGAGACCGAGAGGAAAATAAAATACATCGTTGTTCGCAATTGCTTGAGTAAGGATATGGATCGAAGGATCGCTCCCGAAGATTACGACGTTGACATCGTCGGCCGGTGGCACCGCTCAATCGACAGTGTCCTCTCACAAATTCCGTTTGGCTCCCTTTCGTTACCTCAGATGCCGCCGTAGGGACGTCGCGGCGCAGATATGATACGTTGAGGGGGGGACTCGTACGAAGGAGGAGCGTGTGGAGGGGGTGGGTGGTCCTGGAGGGCCCTCTTCGTCCTCTTGGAATCTCCGCTTCTGTCGCATTCTCACACCTCCGCTCTTTCACCGCCGTTCTCTTCCCTACTCTACCCTGGTCAACGTAGAAGGGCTCCTCTCTTCGCGCGGCCGAGCAAACGGGACGCACCTTGTATACACGCTTATCGTTCTTATCGGTTCATCGCGACGAAACGGTACTACGCCTCGACCTGATCCTCCGGGATCATTATGTCCGGCGCCATCGACAGGTCCTCCGCTATGTCCTCGTCCTGGCCGGAGTCGTGGCCGTGGCTCTCCGAGTACTCCCTCTCGTCCGCCTGATCCTCCTCCGTCTCCGTCTCCATGGGGCCGTCCGGCAACTCGCGCTTTATTAATCTCGTGTGCTTCCCTCCTTCCGGGCTCTGGCTCTCCTGCTTTATGTGCACGGCCGGTTCATCCAGCGGCGACCTGTTGAATTCGACGACACGCGCGAACGTGTTGTGTACGCTTACGAGTGGAAAACTTGCCGGGAGAGCCGCCGGCCCGTCCGCCGACGTGTCGGGATATATATTTCATAGAGCGCGGACGCGGGCGGTATATTTTTTAGCGACACGCCGGCAACAGGGGGATAACGCTTTTCCAGTATTGTTTCATCGTCGCGGCCCCGTGCGCTTTATCAAAACTGCAACGGATAGTTTGTGTTTTGCGGGAGAACCGCGCGGGGCTTTCACCGGCATTTTCGACGGCTTTCGCGTCGCGATCGCGTCGACGCAGCCCGAAATTGAATCGTATAAACCGTCCGTAAACATGCCCGCGAATGAAATAAATTTCGCGATGTTGGATAAATAAAAGATTTTAGGCGGCTTTCGACAATATTACCGTAAGCTGAAACAACATTGCGGAAATGTGGATTTGTAACGGGAAAGAATTATTCTAATAACCAAGGGGGTAACCACTGGCTAAAATGTTGTCCCACCGATTACGTCATTTCATTAGATCGAAATCTGTTCCGACAGATTTGGCTGTCTGGGTAATACTTGCTTATAGGTACGAACTATAATAAATATATTTGGATATTCACTAAAAGAAGTAAATTTTTGGGAAAAATAAAAGTTGAGAAAATGTTCAAATTTAATGTCTGTTGTCTAACGAGTGAAGGAACTTGAATATGAAGACAAAACGTTTACATGGGGATTTCGTAAGAATTTTGTAATGATTTCGGAGACACTGTCCTATAATTATATTAAGCGGTTACCCCCTTGCTAACAACGCTCTAGTCAATGTTTGATGAATTGTAACGTTAAGTCGAGGGACGAATGTGGCGAACGTCACTTACATTAAGTCATTATGAGGTAACACGTGTTCCTTGTCAGGACTTGTCGCTGTTGACGTGCACATCGGATTCAAAAATCCCATGTTAGACTCTCCGAGTGCCTGGAAATACTCAAATTGCATTAGATGGTTAGTTATTACTGATTTAATACCAGAATGTTAATCTCACTTAGATACTGCGCGATTATTATCTCGAAGCAATCGTGCTTCTTATTTATTATTGACAATGCAGCAATGACTTTGACACTATTTGACACAATCATTAGCTAGTGAGTTTTTCTAAAAAGAATTAATAGACCAAAAACTCGTGAGCCATCTTTCTAAATAGGCGATTTTATTATCGTAAACGACACGTGTATCTGTTCAACTATTCATCTCGTGACTACTTTAACGCATCACTCGAGACAGTAAATTGCAAAAGTTGACGTATTTTCGTATTCCAGAAATTAATTATTAATAGTTACCTGCAGGTTGGCATTAAGCGCATCACCGTACATAGTAGGACTATGCGTCAGCGTTGGGCTCTTCGACGGTACACCCCTAGATATTGACAGAAAAAAGATACGTTAATAATATTCGAAATTCGGCCGTGAGCATATATTTTCTGAAATCAATCACAGTGTATGAGTTTTCTTTGGTCATGTCGGGACGGATCTGATAGAAGAGGAGGAGTAGAAGTAGTTGAGTGTATGATGATCGTGTGTGTGTGTGTGTGTGTATGTGTGTGTGTGAAGGTGTGTACGTGTACTGGTATGTATGTGTTTAGAGTAGACGTATTAAAGACAAAAAGGAAAAAGATAGAGAAAGCGAGAGAGAGAGAGAAAGAGAGAGAGAGAGAGAAAGAGGTGTAAAGTGAAAGAGAAGAGAGAGAGACAAAGAGAATTATATAAATATGAAAAATGTATACATATAAATATATATCAAAAAGAGATTTAAAAAGAGCGGAAAAAGTATCCGAGATACTCTCTTACCTACTTACAGTGCCTCGCATATCGTTTTGCCCACCGCACTCATCTCATCGGTGATTGAGCGAGATTAGATAAAAATGACAAAGAGAAAGAGAGAGAGAGAGAGAGAGTTTAAAAAAAGCGCTCCAGTCTCGAAACTTGAGAAATAAAATGGTAATTAATTCAATGTTTCTTTCCTTCGTTCATTTTTGACAGCAGCGTTGCATCAGTTTCGAAACAAACGTACTTATAAACGGCCACCAGGTTACCTGAGCTTACCGTTTTTGTTACCTCGCAAATCATTTAGTAAGTGCTCGAATGCACGATATATTGCATAACAATCGATGCCAAACGCCTCTTTCTTCTCGGCGATTTGCGAAGAGAAGTTTCTCGTTGCGTTTCTTGCGATCACCGTCAAATACGTGTGGTAAATGGTAAACTTGTCAGTCTTAACGTACATCATCGGAAATCTTGACGAGAAATTTAAAAATGCATGCGAAGAAGAAGATGAGAAAAAAGATTTCCTGAGGCCGTTTATCAAGCAACGAGGAGCGCTGAGTAAAGAGAAAAATGGGATAGTGAAATAGAAGAGAGGAAAGTCGATAGAGAAAGAGAGAGAGAGAGAGAGAAGTTAAGAGGAGAGATTGAGCAAAAGTAGATAAATTTTTAATAAGTATTAGAGATGAATAAGTAAAAATTTTTCGAGAATTATTATTATTATTATTATCGTTATATATTATTAAGATTTTATACTAAGTTCACGTGGTACCTGTGATACAAGACGAGTCGCAATGATGAAGATCGAAGAATTCCACCCGAGGTTATAATTGTAACGCATAGTATACACAATTTACACATGCGCGAGTAGCCCTGACGTACATATTCACTCAAACCAAGAACCATTCGCTCATTGCGGAAGCATGATGTAAGATGCTAAGGTTTATTTTGCGATTCTTAACCTTATTTACCTTGGAATGGCGTTCGCCATCTTGAAGCCTTAAAAAATTTTGAGAAAATATTAGCAAATGTTTCCCAGTGTCGGCCATGTAACTTGTTAAAATGTTATCTCGCTTGAAATTGATATCTTGATATCTTTAGTGTCTTTTTTCATATTCTTCCTCTGGCATTTACTTTAAATAGTTTTGTCATTAATCGTCAAATAAAAGGATACGATTTTTGACAAAATACACAGGTGAAAGTTAAACAATTTCCAAAAGTGCGTCTAGTAGAGACTTGTAATGTAGTTAAAAATCGCAACAGACCGCAAAGAAAAAAAACTGCACCCGTTAAAAACTGAAGAAACCTCGCTAGGATGTTACAGCGCGACGTCTACGTCACTCTGTGGAAATGAAATAAAAATAACGAACGTAAAATATTGACAAACATCTATCAACGTCACAGCAATTCTACGATCAAAAGAAGAGAAAAGTAATTCTCTACTACTGTGAGAGAACCAAGGAACACAAACAGAACGAAAGAAGAAACGGAAGCGAAACTTCAACACAAGAGAACGCTTGCCCGCAGAAACGCACCACTTTCACACGAGACGCTACGCAAACGGCATTACATTAAGCGTCATACGTTTATAAGCAGTGTTTTCAAAGTGGGTAGGACAGTTTAGAAGACTTCATCGGGAGACGAGTATTAAGGACTCATGGTAATCCATGCGAGCGACTAATAAACACATTGGGGATCCGGCAACTCCGACCAATCGTCCTGTTGTTGGGACGTTGCAGGACCGTGCAGGATTCAAGCTATCACGGAGTGCAAGAGCCTCGGGTTACAATACTGGTGACGTATACGGGGAGGTCCTATGGACTCTTGGACGTCATTTGCGAAAGTGTGCAATATTTGCGCGTCTTTCGAGATACAGAATCCTTGTTGTACTTTTTTTTACGGAGAAAAAAATTATCGACTTTATTCTTTAAAAAATGATAGACATTCTTTGGCCAACTTAAAACTAACTTTGTATCAAGCAAACATTGGACTAAACATTTCCTTCCTTCTAAATTCTGAATATATGAATAATATAAATAAATATACAAATATAGAAATAAATTTACAATTAAAATATATACTAAATCTCTATTGAAATTCACATTTAACACGCTAAATAAAAAACAATTAATTTTATCTATTTGTATTTATGTAAAACAATTATTTCAATACTTTCGACAGGCAAAAATGCAATGTTAAAACGATCAAAGGATATTTATTCGAAAATAAATTTCAGAGTGCTTCGTGAAATTTAAACGCTTTCCATATTTATATCTAACTATATGACAAATTTTTTTCTTGCTTCTATAAATCGCGATATTATATGAAATTTTATTTATATTTATATTTGCTAGTGACACGAGTTGTGGTCTCAGATAAATAATATATTATATTAAAAAATCAGTGTCACATTTGTCACTTTTAATAATTTTACATGTTTCGCACTTGTACAATTGCCTGTACAGTTTTAAGGAATGTATGTTGAAAAACCGGAATAAAATTGCACACTTGTAGCAAATATACGAGCAAGGTAATAGTGGGATGACACTACTGTCCAGTTTCTTTTGTTTTTTACGGAACCGGACTTTAAAGGCGCTCGAGGCAGGCATGATGCGGAAGTCATTTCCAAAGGGATTGGACAAACTGCATGGAGCTATTTCCTGCTGCCTTGGCATAATCTGTACTTAAAATTCGCAATGTAGAAATAGAAGAAATTTTCTCACAAAGATAGTTTATCGACATTTACGACTGATGGTGAAATCTAACTGATCCAAATTGATTCTCGCATCTGTAATTGCAGCTGTTAGCATCGTAAGAAATAAAATTGAAAAATTTTTTTACCAAAACACATTTTAATTTATGAAACTTTAATAAAGAAGAGTTTCAAGTTGCTGTACAAACATATTGTACAATTAATAAAAATCACTTAAAATACACATTTTTTTATATAAAGAATTTAAAAAATTAAACATAAAACAATCATTTGTTTTCTCAAATTAAATCGTTTCCACATTTCGTTACGTTAGTCGTCACGTTAGTCCACGTTTCGCGCATTATAAAACAGCAGAACTTCTTTCATTTATCTTGTACAGTTATTACGGGAATATGATGAAGAGTGGATTTGCTGCTCCGAAGCAGTTTTTTTTTCTTTCATTCCAAAGGGCATGTCGTTACGTCAATGTAACAGCTGCAACCGCGCACAATCGCGCAGCAAGTGCACAAAGACTTTGAAAGGCAGCAGGTTGTAAAGCCCATTTAGTGGTTCAATTTGTAGACAACGACCAAGCGAAAACGTCCCGGTCGCCGCGTTCATAAAAAAGTACCGCGGTAAGGTCAGAACGTCGCGCCAGCCAGCCAGCAGAATTCTAAAAAGTGGTAGTGCTTACTGTGCGGAGAGGTGGGGTGGAGTGGGTGATGGGGTTGGGTCATATTTCCTGGGGCGGCCGCGGGACAGATGCCGCCGCTTTACGAACTCGGCGTCGTCCACCATCCAGAATGACCCGAAGTCGTCCTCATAGCGCACAAAACACTTGTGCAATGATAGATTGGTGCGGATCGCGTTCTGTATACACAGACAAGACCACCAAGAAATAGAGAAAAAGAGAGTAAAAAAGACAAGGTGTTTTCTGGTTGTTTTTTTTTCGTAGTTGTGTGATTGCGCGCATTTTCGCTTTTCTTTCTTTCTTTCTTAATCTGCGCTCGGCCCGCGCACCCGCCGCTCGCTACTACCCCGTTCGTACGGGGGGTTGGCCTCGCGTATCGCGCGCGGCCGGTCTTTGCTCGCCGCGTTTCACGGGACCCAGAGACGCGCCAGCAACCAGCTGGCGCGTCCTCTCGCCGACGGCTCCGTCGCTCTTGTCGCGTCGCCGGGACACACGGGGCTGTGATCCCCGGAAACGTCGACTTTTTTTTCAGAGAGAAAGAGCAAACAGCAGCACAGATCTCGCAAAAAGAAGGGATGGACCAATCAAAGAAAAGAAAAACAGAGACGCAGAGTAATAAAAAAACGTAGGCGAGGCGGCTCCCTCTCACTACCTGACAAAGTGCAACACTGCGGTTCTCACTCTGTTTCCGGGGGTGGGGGGCAATTCCGCTTCCGGGCTTCCGGGCTTTCGAGACTAGACTTGGGCCAAGATACCCGGCCCCGCCGAGTTCTCGATCGGGTTAGTCGCTGCAAAGCTCACATGCTCGTTATGGAAAGCACACACACGACGCACTACGGATTCCCATATCTCCGAGAACGGTGATTAGCATCTCTAAACTCTCTTTCTATCCGTGTGTGTGTTTTTTTTCCTTCTCATCTCTGTTGTGGCTCTTTCATCTCGGCGACGCACTCTCACGCAACATCCACGCACCCACCAGACTGCCGACTACCATCACACGACGACGGGCAAGTAAGAAATTCACACGCACGCGGGTTCAAACACAGTGATGACGGCAGTTTCTCGAGTATCTCGCAGTCAGCGCAAGCTTACTTTCAAGATCGTGGAACTTTCCACCTTCGCCTTCCGATTGAAGGGAAAAGATGCAGTGAGCTCTGTAAGGCCCAGTCTGCAATGAGTTATTAGTCATTAGAGATAAGTCCGAACCCTTTCATCCAGAAAGAAAAAGGATCGACATTTAGTTCCGACTTTTGACTAACAAACTCATTGTAAACCTAACATACTGGAGAGAGCTGTCCTACTGTTACCCCCTGAGAAAATGCTGTTGGGTGAATCTCCGTCTCTTTCTCTACTATATCATTGATCAACGATTTTCTATCTCGCCTCATACGAGAGAGATAGAAATCGTAAGACAGGAAATCGTGCTAACACGAGCGATTTGTAATGGCAGGATCCTGGGTTCGATCCCGGCCCTTATCCCATATATTTTCCCGCTAAGGGAAATTTCAAAAATTCTGCGCTTGAAGGAGCTTAAGCGCCCTAGCGTCGGATTGAGTGTTTAACCGAGATTAAACATGAATTTCAAGGAATTTTTAGAAGTATCACACTTTCACAAAGGTTTCCACAAATGGGAATAACTAAAAAAAAGACATTGAGAACAATACTCCAGAATGTTAGGCCTGGTCTACAATGCGAGTCTCAGAGTCGCAGTCGTAAGAATAATCGACTGTAGCTGGTCAACTCACAATCAGTCAGACACATGAGAATTAACGACACAATCATAGTCGACTATTCTTACGATTACGACTCTGAGACTTGTATCGTAGACCCCGCATTAGTCGTTAGTCAGAGAGTCCAAACTGTACGTTGATCCTTTTCCCATGTTGATAGAACTCACTGGAGAAAACGTTACGAGTAGCCATCGATTTCGAAAATGTCGTGTCGCGGGACACGACGACAAGCTCTTTATCTGCGAATCGCACGTATAAACGGCACCTCGAGAAACTGCGTGTTAGCGGCAAACATACAGACAGACGACACAAGCGACGTACAGTAAAGAATTGTCATGGCGTTTAGGTGTATAAAGAGGTTTTTATACACACACACACACAGATCTATACGTATGAATGCGCACGTATCAAGTACAAACAGGTACAGTAAACTATAAAGAGAAGATGTAAAACAGGGAACACGACATTTTGTGTAGGCGGTCAAATGTATGATTAAAAAAAAAAAAAAGAGAGAAGTAGAGAGAAATGCACAGGAGAGCGTGCGTGTATGTGCGTATACATACATACGAAGGCCACAAACGCACTGATACGTGCGTTCGCCCTTAAGTCGCATATAGAAATATATATATAATATATAAAACAGCTATATATATTAAAAATACATATATGTAAAAAGAGCTATGTATATATAAGATAGAATTAAATATTCTTAATATATATAAATATGTGTAAATATATATAAATATCGATATATAAAAATACGTATAAAAGTATGTAAAAAGTTATATAAATATGATATAAAACTGTAGAGAAAATTGGCAGTATAAGGGGCTGGGGGGGTTGGGGGGTATCAGCGATACGACTATAAATATAGTAAAAGCGAGTAAGAGTGAGTATAAATATGATTTAAGTATATGTAAAAAGACAGAGAAAGAGAGAGTGAAGTATAGATATATATATATATAAAAGGGAAGGATCTCGGAGTGGGACTCGCGGGAAAGTTTGTGATCCTGAGAAACTGTCCCCTCGATGCACTCGGGAGTGGGAAAGAGTGTGGGGGTGCTTCGAGTCTCGTTGATCTCCGCTCCGAAAGGAGAGGAGCCGGAGGGGTGATAAGAAATATATCGGTGTGAGTGAAAGAGAGAGAGCGAGAGAGAGAGAGAGAGAGAGAGAGAGAGAGAGAGAGAGAGAGAGAGAGAGAGAGAGAGAGAGAGAGAGAGAGAGAGAGAGAGAGAGAGAGAGAGAGAGAGAGAGAGAGAAGAGAGAGAGAGAGAGAAGAGAGAAGAGAG